ACAGATTAAACAGCAGGGGTTACGCAGGTTTTTGTCCATATTTCCACTTACCAGGGTTCCATTTTGGTATCGGTTTTGTGAGCCACATCCATTTGATTCTTTACCATGACATTTGGGTAGACCCCTTCCATCATGGCCTTGATTCTTGGCCATGGCGACGCACACACACACACACACGCACACACACACACACACACACACACACACACACACACACACACACACACACACACACACACACACACACACACACAGCCACACCCGTGCGTGCATGCATAGTTCTGCCTATGTTGTTTCAAGCTCACCTGGTAGAACGGGGTCACCATGATTTAGATCCTTTGCTTTGGGATCAACTCCGACTTTTCGTTTTTGTTTTTTTTTGCACACGGGTCGAACTGACCATTCCAGCCGCAAGCCGAGAAGTTCCAGGCTCTGAATTGCTGTCCTTCGTGTTCTTGCTCTTCGTGGCCCTCTTCACGATTTCTGTCAGGCCCTTAGTGAGCTCGGACGGGTCTGCCCAAATCTAGGGGTTTACTTTGTTGTTTTGGTTCCTCCCACCGGAACCTATGTGTTTGGCCAAAAGGATGCCGAGGGCATCCGAGGGCCCTTCCCAAACCACTATCCCAAAAGGATCAAATGGATATATGATATCTTATATATTTTCTAGTGGAAGCCCTCTTTCAATCGGGCCAGCCTTGGACCCAGAAAGTCGCACCCAGCTGAATGGACCTATTTGTTAGCTGAATCTATGGCTGCCCCAAATCATCAGTCCCATTGCTGGGGATCATATCAGGTGGGTCCGGCTTTCTGGGTCCAAGTTTGGTCCCTATTTGACTCTTCGCCTCTGAGTCGTTTTACCGCGAGGTTTGGAACATCGTCACCTCGACCTTCGTTGAGAAAGCTTTGAAGTTGGCCCAGCCGGACTTGGAGTCCTTGGTCATGGAGCATCATCTCAAGGAGCGGTTGCCCGCGACACGGCGTGTCTCAGACTCGGGTGGGGGGGAAACATGGTGTGTCTCTTTTTAGGGACTCGTTTTAGGGGTATTCATTTGAAAGTCAAAAGGCACCAATTTGGAGAAACACCCAAATGCCGATCGGCCGGTTCCTGTCGGCTTCCATTCAAAATCAACCAGGGTGGTCACCAAGAGAAGACACGTCCCTGTCTCACTGTGCGCGCGTTGCAAGTGTCATGAGTCACAAATTGAGGGAATTGGCCGGGGGGTTGTTCTCTTTCGCGATGCAGTCATGAGAATGGGAATCAACCACTGGGGTATCACAGAAGCGGCCCATTTCCTGCAGCCATGTTTTGTTGAAATCACTTGAGAAGGTTGGAGGAAACCATTTGGAACTAGAAAGGCTCAAAGTCTGGGGTCCTTTGCCGAAATTTCTTGGTCAAAGTATTGCAAGTATCCGAACAACGGCATCCTCTTTGTTGCTGTCGCCATGATCCAGCCAGGACGTGCAAGATGCTCAAGCACTCATTGTGCTATTTTGCAGTCCTAGCCTTACTCTTGCTGCACTCGTGTCTTCATTGTGTTTCAAGCAGAGCTTGTTTGCATGAGGCTGCAGAGCCTTTTGGTGCAAATGATCACAAGGGCGACAAAAACCCAGGGTTTGGACAGCCCTGCAGAGCCAGGGGTTTTGACACACGCTCGCCCACAGAGAGCCACATGCGAGCGAAGCGAGTCTCTCCGTGCCCCAGGCCGTTTGGATTGTGTAGAGTCGCCCGGGGCCCAATGTGATCTTGGTGGATCCCAGCCATCCGGTCCTTTGGCTTTTTGGCTTTTTGGCTTTTGTGGTTGGTTTAGTCTTGGGTTTCTATTTGCATCGCTAAAAGTTAAACTTTCAGCAGCGGATCTGATGACAGCCTAGTAACGGCAGCTTATGACCCGGGAACGCGTGCCGTCAGATTGCGCCTCGAATACTGTGATTGGAGGCATGTGCATTTTCTTGCGAAACCCGGGACAAGAAGTAGACCTCTCCCCGCTTAGGGTGGTGTGGGTTGCAACACAAGGGTTGGGGCTTCCACATACAGTGTGCATACATGTATACACAAATAGATATATTTGTAGCTGACATCCTCAGCGACTGTGCCAGAAGGGTCAGGACACTCGAAGGTTGAGGGTGGCCTGAGGAAGAGTTTACTGTAGTTGATTGCTTGTGGGCCTATGAATAATCATTTATTTGATAGCTCTTATTTCTGTTGTGGGAGTAGTGTGTTTTGTGTCCGGCAATGCTTCAAACGCTTGAACGAGGCACCCTTAGGACCAGCATTTTGCGGCCCACCACCAAGAGTCACCAACGGTACAGCTACCAGTCTTGGACATACAACACTTTTTTGCGTTTTTGGGGTCCCTTTGTTTTCAACTAACTAGGCAAAAAAGATATTGTTTTGCTGGGGTCCTAATTCCAGCCTAGCATAGATGGCACATAGGTCGAACATCAGCTACCCGCAGTTCAAGCTCCTTGCTGAGCAGCACAGATTCCGAGCCTACCTCTCTGCCGCTGGGCGAAGCACCGACAACATATTTCTCGGGCAGTCTGGTGTCAACACGACCCTTTCGGGATTGGTGGTGCAACGAAGTAAGAAGGCAAGCGGAAAGTCCAATATTTCGAATCAGCTCTGTATGTGCGTTTAGGAAATTCAAGGTCCAGTCGAGGAAATGAACATTGCAGCTTCTTAAACTTCTAGCTCGCATATGAACCACAATCAACACCCGAGTAGATGAAGGTTAGCAAGAGATAAATCTAGCCATAAATAGGCGCGGCCGCAGTTTCAATCAATTCATTCTTTACATGACTCGGATCGGAGCAGAGGGTTCATTTGGCTTTCCTTTTCATCCGAACGGGATCCAATGGCAAGCAAGACCTTTGGCGGACCCTCGTTTCAGTGTGGGGGGTGGGGTCAACTGAGGAATGGGGTTGACTGAAACAGCGACATTGAGTACTCCTTGGTAGCTATATCCACCACCACTCAAGCTAATGAATTATGTGTTCTACCTCTATGCATGAATGTTTGCTCTGGTTATTTTGAGGAAACTGGGTATGGCGCCCGGAGAGGTTTCAGGTTTCAGGACTTGGACTGCATGAAAGCAAGTCGGGCTCCATTACCATCTCTCCCATGCTTTGGCACTGGACAAGGAAATGGTCCCTTGAAGAAATTCACCTCGCAGGCCCTCCCTTACTAGACAGAGCGTGTGCGTCTGTGTGTGTGAGTGTTTCTTTGTTGAGGTACCCTTTTCAGGTTGGTTTCAAGGAAACCAAAAGAAGCCCATCATCTTGTTGGGGCCTGTGTCGACTAAGACACAGGGTTATTCCTACAAGAACATCCAACAGGGCTGAAGAGAACTTGCTCAGCATGTTCTGACCTTCACGGAAGCCCCAAATGCAACTTGTTTTGGCGCAGCCGGGTTTGTCTCTAAGTCCCTTTGATTTCCCCTCATTGCAACCCCAACAAGGTACCCCAACAACATACCCTCTATGATGCGTTTGGTTGCTTGATCCTACCCGCAACCGTCCGACTCCCGGGCTTTTGAACCCACCAAGGCACGTGGCATTGATATCAAGAACGTCGAGGTGGGAATGTCATGTCACCCCGCATCGCGTGTCACAAACATCTCATGATCAGGGTTGTGAAGCGGTTTGTTCCTTTGTGGCATCTAAATCACGATTCGGCGGACCTCCCATGGTTTCTCTTCAAAACCATCATCAAACACAGGGCCCGCTAAAGAAAATCAGCAAGTTTGGTACCAAAGCAAAAACAACGACACATCTCGACTTGGCATGCCGATCTCGGAGGTCTTCTTCCGAATGCTGGCGACGGCCAGCGGCAATTCCGAAGTGGAGGTCAAGGCATCGAGCGACTGACCGGAGGATTCAGTTCTGGCGGGTTTCTTTCCCTGGTTACCTGCAAGGGGCAACTGGATCTGGGCTGATTTTCAATGGATGTCGAAAAAAGGTAGACGCCATGTATGAACAAAATCCATGAAGATCCGGAAAAAAACAACTGAAAGCCCAACGCATTTGAAGATGACATTGGCGGGCCTAAAATGGGCCTAGCCGCAAGAGCAGCTAACCTGCAGGGATCCAACTGGCCTCAAGCGCAGGTGCTGGCGAATGCACTGGTTAGAATGAAAGGCCGCTTGGACGCGAAGGAAGGTGTTTTTGCCGGGGATCCAACAGTCCAGCATTGCACGCCCCGCTGTGAAAGTACTTGGCATGGGTGATCAACCTTCTCACGATGTCTTCAAGGGAGACCAAGAGAAAACCTTGGCCTGTTCTCAGGGTCCAATTCATATAACTGTTCACTCTTGCCGCACCTCGGGTTGGCCAACTGACGCCCCTGGCTGAGGGTTCGCGACGAGCATCGATCTTCAGACCTTGAACTTCGAGACAAAGATCACTCTTTCGAAGCAGGCGGGGCTGTTTCCATGGAACCGGTCAGAGAGAGTTGCGCGAGACGCTCAGGCAAAAGCTATCAAGGCCGGGCAGTGCGGCATTGGGGGAAAAGGAAGGGACCTAGTTGATTCGCTGGTTGCTGAACCTTTCCTTTGCTTTTCGCTCTAGCAATAGGCAGTCAGTGCAGCCCCATATCTCTTACAACGGTGGATTCTGACTGGCAATTAGGGTGTGTCACCCATAGAGGGGATTGAGACAAAACTTATAAAGCCTGATGCTATTCAAATCTGACTCAGGCAGTTTGGATCCAGTTGAGGTCGTTTGGAAATGTTTGGAACTCCTAGGTTCATGGACGGATGGTGGCAAACTAACCCAATTCGCTGTTTGGTGGCTGGACCATGTTTGTCGCTTCTCGGGTCTCTTGTGAGGGTTGACAGACCTCAGGCTGCAGCTGGTGACGAATACCCTGTGCCTATTGCCGTTCGCGTACATAGGAGTTATCCATGCTATATATCAGGGGACCTGCAACGGGGAAACGTCGTGGTTTTGCCCTCAAGAGAAATACTGAAAGGGGCTTGGCATGCTCTTGACCTTGCCCTGTGACCGCAAGCAATGCAGGAGATTGGCCGGCATTGTCGTCGAATCGCCGCCCGGCCTTTTTGGCGAGACAACAGGGGTCTTCATAATATGTTTGGGTGGCTTACACAACATTTCTGTGGGCGATTTTACGATCGGTTTGCTTTGGTGGGATGATGTCTAAAGAGGGCATAAAAGAAACCCTGGTCAGGCAAGGTTTTCCAAAGAAGTAGCGACGCCGTTTTGGGAAGGCTGGAAAAGGAAGTTTGACGTGTTTCCAGAGAAGGGTCGTGTTTTAGGGAGGCTTCAAAAGAGGGCTAGGATACCAATTTTGAACAGAAGCCAGCACTAGAGGCCTAGATGTGAGTCATTCGCATGTCACTGTCAGCATGCCACTCGTTGGCCTATTTTCGTGCAGCCATTCGTTGAAAAGGTGTCGTGGTGTTGCGATGTGTATAGAGTTGCATGATTTCTGGCGTGCTCGACTGGGTCTCAGACGGGCCGAGGGGTGGTGACGATAACTTGATTCGTTGTGCCGCGCTTGCATCCATGAAACTCTACATGCGGCCATGATCATTTTGACCATGCCCCAAAACCATCGAAAACCATGCACCGCGCACCGTTTGAAAGTCGCTGTGCGAACCAATGTGCTGATGCTATGGACATCTATCACTGCCATGCTTTAATTTATGTATTATGTATCGATTGAGTCTCCTTTGTTCGAACTTGTTGATGTTTCGAATATTTATGGCTTCCCTTTCCGTGGCTTCCCCGAGCCTTTCATTGGCGCACCTTTGTTTCCGAGGGTCCGGAGACTGCCCCGCAATTTTTTTGGGGGGCAAAGAGGGGGTTGCAACCGCACCAATGCTGAAGGTTCCTTTCTTCAGATTCCTTATCCTTACCAGGTTTTCATTTTGAGGCGTTTACCGGCGCGACTACGCGAGCCCAGGAGAGACTGCTTGATCCGGGAGCGAAGGGTTGCTCGGCCGCAACGTTCCAGCTGTTGAATCCCAAAGGCTCGAGTTGCTGTCGACAGAGTTCCTAGGTTGGTGTCTTCTAGATGAACCCCCCGGTTGACCCCCCGGTTGACAAGTTAAAAAGGGGCACCACGGCAACTCTGCACCAGAACAAGGGTTCCGCTCATTCCCCCAACTAATTCTGAATTACCTTTTTCCTAAAGGAAACAACAAAGGGATGGTGTTTGTTATTGTTTTTCTCCCCCTGAGTCCCTATCTGATATTTAGATGTTGATATGGCAAGAACCCCTAGTACATCTAACTTGCTAGTGGCCTCACCTGGAGGCCAGGATGGCTGCCTTTTCGGCGGCCAAAGGAAAACTTATTCTTCACCCGGCACGGCATGGATAGTGAATAGCAAGAGTCTATTTGCAAGCCTGGCCCCCTCGCACAAGCACCCACACAAACAAACACCCACACCAACACATAAACACACCCACACACCCACACACCCACACACCCACACACCCAGACACCCACACCCACACACCCACATACCCCCACTCCCACATCCACCTGCCTGACCAATTGCACACACGCACACATTGCGGTGTCCCTTGTTTTGTGATTCCCCTATTTCTATTTTGTTTCCCATTGACTTCCCACGCAAAAATGCGTGTCCTCAACAAGCCCTCCCCCTCCCCCAATGGTCCCATCCAAGGGCCGCCGGCGCCCGGCTTTGGCTTTGCTCCTGCTCTCTGGCAGCATCGAGAATGCGTAATGCGCGCGCCATCACACCCACCGCCGCGTTGAATTATGAAGACCCATCACGAAAGCTAGTTTTAGCTGGCTGAAGTTTCTCCTTGCGAAGGGGCAAAATGCAACAAACAATCAATTCAACCCCCCCTCCCCCCCCGCCCTTCCCGGGCTCGAATCCTCCCTGGTCCACCCCCCCCTCTCAAGCGTTGACTTGGAATTATAGAACAGTTGCCGGTTGATGAATGCTGAGAAAAGGGTTCCCTATGCAAGAAGACAACCTAGAGTAAAGTGGTCGACACCACCAGCGTTACCACCTCTTTAGCTATTGGAGCAACTTGACACAAATCAGATGTCGCTTTGCTGCGCAAACCAAAATTAACCTGGGCGTTCCCATTGTCCCAGAATGAAGCCAGAGTGACGCTGAGCAGACCTATACCGAAGGAAGTCCTGGAATATTTGTTGATGCAAATAAGTCAATATAGATAAAATTATAGAATTATCAAGCAAGGCAACCCTCGCCGGTGTTTTCTCCAACCGGCAGCTGGGAGCTGGCGCTAGGATGGTCGCAAGCCCACCTTGCTGAAGAAAGGCGGCACTCCCGACCAGGAAATGGGCGGGGCGGGGCAGCAGGCTTTGTGCATCAGTTCCATTTCTATTGTCAAGGGCGCCAACAGGCCAGTCCCAAAGCGACCACTGGCCATTGGTCTATTTGGGGTCTGATTGGGGTTCTTTTGAGTGCTTTGTTTTGGGGGTCCCCCCTTGAAAAATGACAACCATAGGACTGGAACCCGCAGAGTAGCAAGGGATGGGAGCCACAAGTAGGTACCAACGTCTTTTTGCTCGGTAGACTCTGTCAATATGTCTCCTATGTTTCGAGACATGTGGGCTCAGACCACCAGAGACGGAATTCGATGCTCTCGCAAGGCTCTAGGTTGCTGTAAGTGGCAAGCAAGAAACGGACGCCTGCACGAGGAAGACAGTCTCTAATTTTTGAGACATTGGCAGATGTGTTCATACCACGGGTCCTTTTGTTTCCCTCTTTGGAATTTGTGGATCGATCATCACCTGCCGCAAAACTGAATTTAGTTTCTCTTTGCTGTGGTGACGTTTAGTGTGGATATGTGAGGGACCCTGCATATTGTTTCAAATCAGGAATTATCACTTCCTCGTTTGAAGGACTTTATACTTGTTGGGGAAGACTATGGACTTTATACATTTCTTGGACGACCATTTAAAACGGCCCATCCCATTTTGTTTTGGCCCGTCCACTCAGGAAGTGAGTAGCACATCAGGGATCAGTGTTTCGCACGTCTTTGCAGGAGGGGCACAAGTCCAGCCTCCAACCTCGGGATGTGCCGGAGCATCCAGACCCTAAGGCGTGATCTGGACGCCCGGGTGCGACTTTGGTCGCAACCTCGGCAGAAAAGAGATGGGTGGCTCGTCTGTTTTTGGCGGACCCCACCAAATGGTGGCTTTTCTTTTTGCTGCAATTGAAAGCAACCAAAAACGGGCACCCTGAAAAAATGACACCCCCAAATAGGGAACGAGCCAAACAGGAGATGGGATAAAGGGGTTTGCGTGTATCAAAAGTTTGGTGGCCTTGGGAAGGCCAAACAGGAAATGGATGGCTGTTACCGAGCAGGCAGTTGGGGCTCGGAGTGTTCGAGACAAATGCCTCGCAGGTTGGGTGAAAATGAATTTGCAGTTGCAAGCGAAAATCCGACGCTAAGTTTGCTTCAAAGGCAGTGGTTGCTTGTTCGCCTTCCAATTTCGGGTGCTTGTGAGTGTCAAGGGGTTTGTTTGTGGGAGGATTGATTTGATTCCAGGAACTGAAGAGAAAAGAGGACCAGCAGTAACAACACCCCATTTGTTCAGTGCGCCCATGTTCCGTTTTTGTGTTGCGGGTTCCCCATCAAACATGGGCAACCTCAAAAAGCTTCCCTTTTTCTACCAGAGTCACCGGCAAGTGGGAAGCTCTTGCCCGCGTCGACATCTGAGGCAATGCCAGTGTCGGCAGGATTCTCTCTTAAAGGATGATGGCTTGCCGCACCTGAGTTTTCCGCAAACGCACTTTTTGACAGGGCGGTCCTTTTTCAGACAATTTTCCTAGACAAATGTTTGAACCCTCAAGTGGGTGAGTTGAATGTTGGAGGTATGTCAAAGTTTCCCCAAGAGGGCAAGGACCACCCAGCTTTCTGAGCAGCAGCCCGCAAAGTTGATCCAGTTCAGTCTGTGCTTTACTTGGATTTTATCGCACCTTTGCATAGGCGTCCTTTTTTGGTTAGCTTGAATAGAAATAGATGGCACTGGTTTAGCTTGGTTTTATTTCATTTACCGGGCCATCTAGTTTTCCCAAAAAGGATATCTGTGCACCTTCGGTTACTTCCACTTCCCGCCAGCGAAGTGGTCGATGGTTCACAAAGATTCTGCCCAACGGCACGAAGCACGGAAGTGAACTGGCCAGGCCGTTGCATGCTCTCTCGAAAAATCGAGCCACATGAGCAGTGGTCAGTATCTCACACGGAGTGAGTATTTGGCCTTTTAGTGGGTATGTGTCAAAATAGGGCCTGACTGTTGACACACATCCTCCCTTAGTGTCGCTGAGATGGCATGCAGGAGACATGCTGGTCCAGTGTCACCGAACCAGTCCACTCGCGGGAAAGCTCAAGAGGATTCCGTCTCAATAGCGGTGACTTGTTTTAGGTGACACTGGCAGGGCACGGACCAAGTCCAGCCTTTGGAAAGGCCTCGCCCGGGAGCTTTCGGCGCTAGCGACAAATGAGGCCGGCGTTTAGTTTCGCCCGGCGGGGCTAGCTTGTGGGGTCACGAGATCAAGGGACATGTCCAACTGTTGGTTTGCCAGCGCTACAACTGTTTTCTGACTGAGCTTGTTGGACAAAACAAGCAGGGACCAGGTAGGTTGGGGTAAGTCGCTGAACAAGATGTCCCCGAGAAAAAAAGTTGGTACGTAGGACCTTGGCAGAACACGGTGCGTGTCATCGAACCGCCCTTCACTGAATGGCGGTGTCCTATGAGAAAGCCCTCAAGAGGTGTCACCTTGCTTTTTTGGCTATCTAGAAACGGTACTCTAACAAGGCACAGCCAAATGTTGCAGCCAAACTGAGCACCTTTCACAACTACTAGACTAGATGTGTCTGTTCTCTGCTAGTATTCCAGCTAGCAGCTATCGTGACAATGGATGCCCCCGTGTGTTTCCTCCAAACATGATCCCGACCCTCGTGAGTGGGTGCTTACAAGCAACCTTTTAAGTTTAAAACTGGCTTCCTATGTGATTGTTCATGTCATTCTCGGGACTCAGGTTTCTGCGGGCAAGGCAGCTGGCCCAGTGTGCACACGATCCAGGCAAAAGGTTGGGTCGTCCCCCCGGTCGTGCAGCCACTTGGGGTCTCCTCCATGTTTCTATACAATTGACTGAATATCAAACATAGTCTGACCATTTTAGTTTTGCAGAGTTTGGCCAAGTCACCCCTTGTCAAGACGTTTCGTGGTGGTGTCCCTTAAGTGTTACCCCTTCATTTGATATAGCACGGACATGACACTGCGTCAAGCCCAGCCGCGCCCTCCGAGCGGGAACGGCTTCATTGTTGGTTTTATTCAGGGGTCTTAGCCCAGCTTTGCGCACATTTGTATATCTTTATACCTCCATACTCACCTAGATTCCAAGATACGGAATATACAGAAACATGTCTTGACAATTTGCCAAACAATGCAAAGCATTGTTTTCCAATATCATTAACAACCGATACGTCATGCAAACCAGCTGCTTCTCGATAAAGGACGGTTCCGTGTTTGCCTCGTTTGAGATCCGAATGAATCTGATCCAGTCGTGTATGTCAAACATGCAGTGAGAGCACATCTCTTAGCTGCAGGTTTGGCCCGCAACATGTCAGGTGTGGATCTTGGGGGAGGGTGGTGAATCTATATCTATATATACATAGAGAGAGACAGAGAGCGAGAGAGAGAGAGAGAGGTGGATTGATAGATGGATCAGATTAGATTAGACTGGAATTGACCATACTATATCAGATTGATAGATGGATAGAGGCAGGTCGTTCGATTGATCGGTTGATGGATATATGTATAAATATACAGATAGATAGAGAGAGAGAGAGAGCGAGAGAGAGCGAGAGCTGGATAGATAGATGGATTCGTGGGTGGGTAGGTGGGCAGGTAGGGTGGGTAGATAGGCAGGTTGGCAGGTAGAGGCAGGTAGGTCGATGGCTGGGATTGGATTGGATTGGATTGGATTGGATTGGATTGGATTGGATTGGATTGGATGGATGGATGGATGGATGGATGGATGGATACACGCGTCATTCCGCCGTTTCATGCGGGCAACCGGCAAACACTCCACATGGCGTGGCATGTTTAGATGCTGAGGTGATGCCCTCCTGTCAGGACACGGGCACTGCCATCGCAGGAGACCCCAGGTGGGGTTAGCCTTGGATGGCTTTGGAATTTGGGGGGTGTTTGCTTTTCAACCTGGTGGAGCAACTGGGAATGCCGCAAGCCAAGGAGCGGACGAGCAACTGCAGGTTTCAACGCACTTGCAAGCTTTCGATGCCTGTCAATCAGAAGATCCAATCTGCAGGATTCTTTGGGAACAGATCGGAACGTGCGTGGATTTGTCAGTACCATTTGCTGCTTTATTGGCTTGAGGGGCTGAAAAGGGGATCTCTTTCACGGTTTACACCACTCGATAAAGGACAGTTCAACGACCCTGCCTCAGACATTCGAATAGAACGCTCCTTGTCAATCAGGCATGTGTCACAAGCAACACATGTTGTGTCAATGCAAAGGTATTGGCTGTTAATATATTTGTGTAGGCATTATGCTGTTGTATCATCGGCGTTAGTCTATCTAATACTGTGTGCGAGATTGTTTGTGGAAGCGAGATGAGAATTGGAAAGAAGCAATGGCAAGACAGTGGGAGACAGAGGGAAGTGGGCCTTCTTCACCCGCATCTCTGCTCATTACTTCGCCCAAACTCGTGCCTTTAGGCAGGAGTGTAGATGGGCGAAGCGCGGTGGCTTGGAGGTCACAAAGCCTTGCACTGAGGCTATGGTGAAGAAGGGAGCGAACGTGCTCACCGACGGAAAAGATGAGGACCCAAGATGGTCTTGGCTCTGAGTTGTGATGTGGCCCAAAGGAATGCCCGGGGTTGCCGTTCGCAGTGTTCGCAATTGAACCTATGCAAGCGGATGTCGCAGGAAAACTGCCAAAAGAACCAAAGTGGGGTGCCTGGGGTGGCGTTTGCCGTTGTCACTGGAAAAGGTGAGTTCTGAGGAAACAGGAAACGAGCCGGTGGTTACTCTCTTGCAAAATAAGAAGTATATTGAGATGGACCCCAACAGATCCAGATGGATTCGGGTTTAGAGGAATCTGCGTTTTGACCCCCCCTTCCTTTGGGTTACATTGTAATTTGGCTCTTTCTGCCAAAATGGGACACCTGCAACACAAGTGACTCCTGTTGGATTCCCTTTGAACAACCCCAGAAGTGGTGCCGTCAAACAAGAGCGACCCATTCGCAAACGATCTGAGTAGCCATTGGTGACAGGAGTTTATTTCGCGGGGAGTCTACAAGGCCTATGCAGAAGGCTACTTGCGCTACTCACAGGCGTGCAATCTGGCCAACGGAAATGCAGCACCATGATCGTCGGGATCATATTTGGAGCCATACTAATATACCTACACATGTTTACATGTAACATGTATGTATATATATATATATTATAGGAATATACATATATTAATGTATATATATATATATATGTATATATACATATACATATGTATATACATATACATATGTATGCACATATACATTTGTCGAATAATATCTGAGCCATTTGTACTAGGATTCGTGATTTGCAGGCACAGAAGACCCCTGGTGATAATCCCACAGGAATCAGATGATCTTCGTAGATCCCTGCCCGTTCCTGTCATTTCTGGGGCTAGAATGGCAGATTAAACGTAAACCCCCGGGTGTTGAGACCCTGCTGGCGATCCAACTGGACCTCAAGCTCCGCCTGGCATCTCAGAAGGCCATGCCCCATCCAAACGCAGGGAACCCCTGAGGATTTTCCAGATGCTTTGGGGAATTCTGCACATACCCCATCAAGGCCTATCGAACAATAGACCAAGAATAGGTGAACAGCTTGCGAACTGGGACAAGTGTGCAGAACACATTCTGGGAAATGCACTTTCTGGCATGCCAATTCCCGATCACTTCTTTTCAGGGTATTCCCGTGTCACAGAACGTGGCGAGAGAAACCCAAACGTTCAAGAGCTCATAAGGGGCCAGGGCTGGGGAGTCTGGGAGGAGCCAAAAAAGAGGCTACTACCGTAGGTCTACTGTAGGACTCTTTTGGGAGTATGAAGAAGCCCCCCCAAGTTAGCTGGCAAAGAACCCCCTGTTTTGATGGAGTTTACCGGAAGCCAGTTTCAAGGGGTGCACTTCCTGTTGAAGAAGGACCCACTATGTTTGGGATACACAGATTGAAGTAAATAACAAGTAGTTGGCCATAAATCCAATCGAATCCAATGAGGCCCGACTTTTTGAATCGGCAGCCTGGTCACTTGTGCATCATGTTGATGGATCTCCGCCGATGTTGCCAGGTAGCGCCATTGACCATGTTCGACGAGGTGTGGTCCCATGTTTGCTATGGGTCAAAGCACGTGTTTCCTGTGGATTGGTATTGACTGTCATCGACCCTTTAATGGGACATTCAGACAATTTTAGACAACCATGGTGAAGGTTCCTATTGAGGGAACCATTGCTGCAATGACTGAAGGGGAAGCCGGGCCAATATTCGACGTCTTCCGAAAAGGGGATGGCATGGGGCACACGAAACCCAACATATCACAAAGACATGGGAGTTACTTGCCGGATTCCAAGGTCAGCTCGCACACATGTCAATCGTGCGAGCAGCCGAGTGAGATAAGTGGGTGTGTTTTGAAATACCTAGAGTCTCCATGACCCGTAAAAAATGGGTCCATGACCCCTTAATTTTGGGTAATGACCCCATTTTGTAAGGGTCACGGAGACTCCAGATAGGGATATCCTGAAAACTCGACACCCAAATGATGCAACATGGGCACACCGCAATTCCCCGCTTTGAGGCCACGGCTTTTAGGTATCTCCCAATGTTTGGGCTCCTCCCTTCGGGCCAAGGTGCTTAGAAAACTGGGGAGAAGCATGTAAGAGGCTCGTCAACATAAAAGCCCACCTGGAGGGTTCCAGAAAGGTTCCTTTACTTTTGCAGCCTACATGGCTTTTGTGAAGAACTTGCCAAAACAATGAATAGTTAGTTTGGGTTCCCCTGCTAGTCTAGGCTTCATTTTGGCGACCCTCCAAATGGTGTCTTTGGGTTCTCTTCATTTCTGGCAAAGTGGGTGTGTGTGTGTGTCTTTGTAGAGCTGGCACCTTTTTTGGGGTCAGTTTCAAGGGAAACCCAATAGAAACCGCCCATGTTTGGGGGTTCCCCTATTTTGACACACACACACACACTCGTGTTTGCATAGTGACCTTTTTCCCATGTCTTTTGCACTCAGCAAGCAATCACGCAGGCCAATACCAAGACGAACCTCCCGGCACAGATCGACATGCTCAGCCAGTCTGCCACTCAGTCGCCCGGGTTCGTGTAGAAATTTGAGCAGTGCCCAAAGCCCCGCAAGACAGAACTGCCTCAAGCAACGAAGTCAATCGCCTCAAGCACCTCCCACCTCGCTGCATGATTTCAAAGATCTCCGAAATTTACCTGCGATTTGGGGTTTGTGTCCGTTTCCTCGGGATGCCGAGAGCAGCTTGCTCACCTGAGAATTAGTTCGGCGAGTGACTGACACACAGCTAGCTCCCAACTCAGCCCACGGCATGGGATCGACAGGGCAAAAGGGCCCCTCACAAATGATTGGTGGACATCACGAATGGTTGGTGACAGATGACACCCTCGAAGATGTGCGGTGGGCATAAACTCGATGCGCAGATGATGTTCACCCCTGCTAGGTCATCAACCTGACAGGTAAAGGGGTCCAACCACATGAAACTCTTAGCCCTGTCGCTTGCCACGAGGCCGGGCAACTCCTATGACGTGCTGTACATCGCGAAAGGGGGAGGTAGTGCTAACAAGACCCAGTGCCGCGGATGAAAGAAATTGGAAAAAAAGGCCTTGGCATCTGTTTTGTCTTTGATGCCAAGTCCGGAGAACTGTCACCATGGCTGGTTTGTCTTTGGAGGATTAGTTCATTTTGCGGGGCATTGCCCTGAAAAGTGCGGTGCTCCGGATCTATCCGAAGTTGACATTCAGGAAACTCGCCATGTGACAAAGCAGTCACAGCCGTGAGACCCAACGCGACTCCATGCACTGTTTGGGCATAATAGGAAAAACTGGGTACATTACTCTTTATTGCCAAATCGGGTCTTAGTCCATTTTGGAGCTTTTGACACGTGCTGGTGGCCTTGCGGTTTCCACTAATAAGGGTGCGCTTATGGTTGTGCTGCAAGTACGGCGCAGGGATGTCACTCATGGTCTACGCTTTCTGGTTGGCTCAATAACCGAAGGGGCCAATTCGATTTTTTGGATTTGGATCCAGAAAGCCCGGGCAATCGGTTGGTGTTAGAGATCAGCAAGTTGGCAAGAGTTGTGGCACTTCCATCTCAGGCTGCTGCAGAAGACCAAGGGTGTCCTCAATGACAAGGCACCGTGAACAAGCTTCGGGTTTTGCTCTCCTTGATTCAGAGCCGTTTGCATGGGGGCGACCCATGAGAAGCAGGAAACTAGAGATGATAGTGTTCATGAGCTAGCACTCGCAGATGCTATGTCGAAGAAGGATGCTTGAACCACGCCGTCCAAAATGGCCCGTAGTTTGGAAAGCCCAATGTTATCCGTGGCTGACAAGGATTAGGCAAAAGGCGTGCTGTTTTTCCTTCTCGGGATAGATCCTGAGGGCCTGTTGCTGCGTTTTTTCCACCTTCATGCAACACCCCTTTGTCAACACGCGTCATTCCTCAAGGAAACTACGACGGGATGGGTTCATTTGTTGGCTTGCCAGATCCCTTATCACCCAGCGGAGACCCCAGCCAGACGTCAACAGGAACAAGGAACAGGACCCTTCCAACCGCTTCAATTCAGCTTCGCTTCCGCACAGGCTGTGCTATGGGTCCCTGAGACTCCCAACCCAAACCCCAGGAACCCAACCAAGCCTAACCAACGCAAACCACAGGAACCCAACCCAGTAACTCAATTTCTGTGGACCTTGCCCTTGGGACCATAGTGAACTTGGTGGCTCCCAGTCATCCCCTTAGCTTTTTGGCCTAGTGTTTAGTGGTAGTTTCCATGTAACCCACTCAAAGTGATTCACTTTCAGCGGGGGATCAGTTTGGGCAGAGTGACGTCCCAAAAGTCTGGGGGGACCAATCCGGCCAATCCGCCCGCCCACTTCAGGGGGCCCCGAAGCCCATATCCGGCTTCAGGCCTTTGCGGAGTTCGTGACAGAGATGGTGAAGGGCATCGGCACTGCGGCCTGCCCGCCGTGCGCCGTGAGGAGTTTTTTTTTGGGGGGTGGGGGAAAGGGAAGCCAACTGGGGGAACCAGCCATTGGAGTAGTTTTTTTTTCCCGGAAGGAAAGGGGAGCCAAATGGGGGAACCAGCCATTTTGCGGATGAGGTAATTTGACAACCCAAGTCCTGACAGCACAGATCCGACAGCACCATACAGCAGCCAAATGGGACACGCTAAAGAATTGTCAGCGGTGCTTGGCAGGTTTTGAGGATCCTGTCACACCCTCATCGCCAGGGAGAACCCGCTACCCATCACCAGAGGTAGCTTTGAAAGTCTTTGAGTAGGTTGCAGGCCCCCCAAATTCTGCGCTTGGAAGGGTTTCAAAATCAAAACCCGGTGTGTGTGTGTGTGTGTTAACCCCCCATGGCCACCAGACAAGAGAGAAGTGATGGCTAGGTTGGGGGTGTCTCAAAATGCATGTGTGTGTGTGTGTGTGTGTGTGTGTGTGTGTGTGTGTGTGTGTGTGTGTGTGTGTGTGTGCGTGTATTTTTTCGCCAGGGAAGGAAGCGCCGGCCGCGTCACGATTGAAATGGCAAGGTACCACTTGGCCTTGGTGGTTGGCGGCCTGTCAGCGGAGCAGAACTTGAAGACAGCGCGGCGCCCTACAAAAGGGCCGTCACCAGCACACTCTCCCTCAAACAACCAGCAAATATATATATATATGTTTATATATGTTTTTTTGACATGTATAATATATATATATAAGCATTTATGTATATATGCATACTTGGTGGTTTGGATTGGTGGTTTGAAGAAAGGAGCCCTAGTTCTTGTAGAGTTAATGTGACACCACCCCCCAAGCTCCAAAAGGCCAATCCAAACCGCCAACTAGAGGGAGTGAACTTTGAAAGCAGGGAACCACCTCAAAAGTGGTCGGTTCACATGAATCCCCACCAAGTTTTGATGTCCACCAAACCCATACCCATACTGTGAATGGACAAAACCCGAATTACACCGCTTTGAACCCATGTGAAACCTTGTTTGCTTGGCATTTACAGGGGAGATCATCATTCCAGCGTGCCTTTGGTGGTGCGAAATGGATTTCGTCCATCCACCAGTCCGATGTGGGTGTGGCTCAGAATTTAAGAGCCAGGCTGACGCACGTGGTCTTTGTTTCCATTTACCTCCACTTACCCATGGGGGCCATTTTGGGGAAGCATTTTTCGTGCCAGAGCCATGTGGTTTTTCCCTCGGAAGGTGAAGCTGGCCAGCTGCAAGTACCTGGACGGGCTGCCGGTGTCCGGCAACGCCATGGGCCGGGCCTTTCGAGATTTGGACTGGGAGGCGCGCCCGGCGCCTCATGGCACCGGTTTCTTGATGAATCCCAGGGATTCGTCCGGTTCCTTAGGTGTTTCAAGTTGGTTTTTAGTGTGTTTGGTGGTTGGGTTTCCATGTCTAACCCACAAGTTATGGGTTTGCCTTTTGCTTTCCCTCAACCACAAAGGGGCAACTCCCAAAAAAGGCGACGAGCCACCCACATGTTTGGATCTTGTAAAGATTCTAAGTCTGTTTTCCTACAGGGCCGATTGGGGAAGTGAGTTTCAGCACAGGTCATGGTCAGAAGCCCCGGCGAATCCACTGAATCCAAATCTTTGGGGTTCTCTTTGTAGGCTCATTTTGGTCATCCCGCAAGGTTGACCTTGTACTTCTAGGTCCTGGTGAGAAAGATAAGCAGTATCCTTTAAGATGGAATCTGGGGAGGAATGACATCTCCCCCCCGGTTAACATGCCATTGCCAAAAGACCTATTGGGGTTGGTGTGGATGGTCACGGACTACTGAAAATAGGAAATTGCACAATTCGTTGACGTAAAATAGAAGTTTTGAGCCCTTCTAGCTCCAACCCCCACACCGGCTTTATGACTGGTGTCGTAGCCCAAAAGCCTGTATGCTTTCCCAATAAATCGGGATACAACCCCAGGCGTATACTCTCAGAAGATGCCCCTTTGCGCCGACTCCTTTAATTTTGCCCTTTTGTTCAAGGGCCGGATGGGTTTTCAAAATGATGGACCCTTCAACAACATGTATGGGGATTTTCAATAATCTTCGACCATATTCTGAAAGTTGTCAACAGCATGTATCCTTGGAAGAGATCCCAATTTGAAGGCAGCGCGTCAGGATACGATTTCACCCCTAGCTTGAACGTGGTACTGCACCATGGTTTCAACAACCATGTCTAAGTTCCTTTTAACTTTGCCAAACCTGGCTTTGAGGATTAATGTCCAGTTTCTTTGTGATGCTACTCGCAAGGAGCATAATCCCGCGGAAGGTTCGCAAGGATGGACATCTCCCTGCAAAGGGCACTATCCACCCACGACCGCAAGCAGGGGTTGCAATCCGCAAATCAGTAGTGCATCGACCTGCTCAAGCCCCCGACTTTAGGGAAGTGAAACAACCAATTGTCATGTCAAGCCCTGATTCATCATTCCCCTGATTCGGGTACGTGTCAAAATACGTGGGCCGCGCAAATGGTGGCTTCACTTTGTTGATACAGGACTAAAAGCCGCCCCAAAACTTGGAGGGGTATGCTCCGAACACACTCCCATTTGTCAGCCGAGCGGATTTGAACGGCACAGGAAAAGATCAAGAAGATCTCCCAGGACACTTTCGGAGCGCCCGAAGTGTGTTTCTCAAAAATAAAGGACCCCTTGGCACATTCAAGATAACCCAAAAGGATGCCGCTCAGTTTTGGGGGGTTTTCAATTTTGAGAAGAATGGGGATAAAACGCTCAGGACGAGCAACCTTCGTGGGAAATCGGGTCCCACATGCCCTCCCGAGAGCTAATAGACTACCAGGAATACGGCTTGTTGCACGGTGATCCTTTGACTTCCTTTTGTCGGAAGTAGAGGGAACACCCCTAGTAGTACAAGTACCCTTTTTGAGGGGGCCATGCTTTTGTCACTGGGATCACAAGGTAAACGTGGAGTTCTGGCACAAACTTGGCACGCAGAGCAGCTTGGAGGTTCCGGTAGGGGCTCCCGCCTTTCATGAGATGGTTCACTCTTTTAGCAAGGTGTGTCGAGATTTATTCGTGAGTGCCTTTGTAAATGGTTGCTTCGGGATAGACATTTATTGCTTTTCCCAGTTGGTTTGGAAGGGGGATGGCTTTGACTCATGGGGAAGTTGTCATTCGGTGGCACCTCAAATGAAAGGTTGGTCCATCGCTAGAGTCATCTTGCCTGGAAACGAGGGAGTCAAAAGACCGGTTGGAACACCGCTTTGCGCCCGGGGCTTGCTGAACCTGCAAAACCTCAGTTGTTCAGTGGCCCCCTTTTTCCCTTTTTTTTTGGTGGCTGCCCCACTAAAATGGTCTTCCCAAAAAAGGGTTCCCTTGTTTTCCAGGGTCACTGAACAACTGAGAAACCATTGCCAAACTCAGCTCACTCAGGAGCTAGGCATCGGCGCACAGTTTGGCGGAAAGCGCGGGGCTCAGAGGCTCAGAGGTCTTTTTCTGCGACGAGTGGCGCCATGGCGACATTCTTTTGGTTTTTAACGTTGTCCCTGGTGGTTTCCCAGGAAAAATCCACCCCGTAAAGAAGAAGCACTGGGGGCGGGAAAGGGGTGGGGAAGACCTCATAGGGCAAACATGCAGTACACCATGTGTGTTGCTTTAGGTTGAGTGAGCTTATTGGAGGAGAGGGCAACGAAGTGGGCAAATCATCAAATCTTTGAACTCCGTGATGCCAGAAAGCCAACCAAGATTGAATGCACGGGTTTGCTTCTGCTTTTCTCGTTGCCGAACACCACCCAGCCCAATCCACAAACTCTCCTTCCAATCCAATTTGGATCAGAGCTGGATGTGGCCATGGGTCAAAACCCCGTACTCCCAATCCCCACTAAAATAGACTAAAATGGGTGGTGCACCTATCCCAAAATGGTAGCATTGGTTTTGAACCATGGCCATGTGGTTCGAGTGGTTCTGGTTGGATTGAGAATCGTATTGCCAACCGCCGCTTTCTCCTGAGCATTCAAGCAGCTTGCCAGAGAGCCCAGAGTTCGAGGGGAGATTGCCTAGATGTCCGAGCTTTGAGCTGGTCCTTTTTACTATGGAACCAAAAGGGGGGGGTCCCCCAAAAAGAGGATTGGCGATCTTTGTGCGACTTCCAGTGGGTCCCCGAATGCTTCAAGCCCACATGGAGCGGTGACATCAATCAGGGTCTTCCGATCTGAATCTCAGCTGGCAACTCGCTTGACTCCTCTCCCCAAAAGCTGCTTGCTTCAACCTTAGAGATATCGTCGTTTAGCCATACCCCATGGGCTTTTCAGCTGATTTGAATCCGTTTGGAGTTTGGTCACCCGTTTTACACGGACAAAGATTAGCTTCTTCATTTCCTGGCATGGTCCATTGGCGCAACTGGCTTCAGGTACTTCCTGCATGACGTGCGCGTGGTGCGGCTTCCCCGGCACGGCCGGCGCCTCAAAGACCCTTGGGGTCTCCTCCAAAACTTGAGGGGTATGTTTTTGGGTGGACTGAATTGGACAAACAACCTGAACCTTTGTTTGAAATGAATCTTGCTTTCTCTGTACATGGCCCAAATTGTTCGAAACGGTGTGGCGAACTATTTGGACAGCCTCGGTTTGATGTCCTTGAACTCTGGCTAGGAAGGTGGGTGTTTCAACAAATTGTGCGCAGCCCTGTTTATCACGTGCTTCGAGGTAGATCCTCCTGTGCAGTTCTGCTGTCAAGGTCATGCGAGGTGTCAGTCGGCTGGTAGGAAAAGGAGGGTGCTAGTTGGGGCGGGTGGGTGGCTCGGTGCCTCGGTGGTTCGGTGGGGCGGTGGGGTGCTTGGCTGAAGGAAGTGGGGGGAAGGGCGCTGTGGTTACAGGAACGTCTTAGGCCGCTCTTTTCCGCCCAGACTCTTTGGGGTGAGAAGACTTTGGGAGCAGGGCAGTTGATGGGGTCCAATGCGGCTTTGACAGCTCGCAGAGAGGGCAACGACATATTTGCAGAGAGACAGCGCGGTGATAGAACATGTGCAGGTTGTTGGGAGGGGACATGACCATTTGCCATGTTGGATGTGACCGTGTTGCACGGGGCCAATTCAAAGCCCCTGCGGCACCCTCGAACCTTTCAATATATACATGTATAATATGTACAGATAGGTGCATATATAAATGACAGAATGCATTATACTCAAACACATGAATCGGTAACGGTGCATACTTGTCAGCGATGCCGATGTGTTGTGGGTATATATGTAATATCGGAAGTTGGTTTATGAAGAGGTACATATCAGGATACACGACACTATATTGCATATATGCAGAGAGAGAGAGAGATCCTCTAAGTATGAGTATACCCCGAATCTATATTTAGGTAGATATCATACATACATATATATATATATGTATTAATGCTACATATATATATATATATTATACATGTATACATATATGTATAGACAACCACATCTGGAGAAGGGGAGCCTTGCCACTCAGGCGCCTCTTGCCCAGTGGGCATCGGGGTGTCTTGCTCGGCGGACCGGCAGGCCAAGGCCTGGCGGAAGTGTCCCGCGCGCGCTTGCGCCATGTCAGTGGGCTGCCCGAACCCACCAGGCCACCAAGTCAAAAAGAGAAGCATGACTTGTGACATATATATATATATATATGTATTATGCTTATATATATATACATGTATACATATCCCAACCTCGCCAAGGGGACTCGGTTTGCGACCGGAAAGAAACAACAAAACGGATTTGAACTTCCCAGATCTCTTCCGTTTGCAGAAGGCGAGATGTTTGCCAGCCCTCCAAATGCCGCGCACTTGCATGCACATTTTGTTGTTTTTGCTCTCAACGTTCCAGAGCGTTTGAGGCCTGCGGCGCTAGCTTCGAAGGGTGGGCATGTCACAGTTGTTTCTTGAACCTGTTTGGTTTGAGCAGACATTTGCCTGCTCAAATGGAGGGGACTTGGCAGGGAGAGGGGCACGTGTTTTCAGCAGGGGTTCCATCAGATCACAGCGGGCCTAAGCCTCATCTGCCATGACTGCGTTTCCATGTGGGCACACGAAGACAGAGCCAGGCAAAAATCAATGAGGAGGGCGTCTTCCTTGAGAAGCTTGAGACAGAGCCTGCAAAGTGCCCTTCACCCGGTTGCGCAGATTGGGAGGTTGCGCCATGCTGCTTAAGCAGGGTTTCCCCTTTGGTTGCGATTGTAATTAAAGCGACAAAGCAGGTACAGCCACCTTTGACCTCCTCTCGCAGAGTTTGCCAGTTTTCCAACGGTCAGATTCCTGGATTCTGGAAATATGATCTTGAGGCACTTTTGTGATATCACTTGAATCAATCCCCTTTTGTGTGATACAATAGTTAGCACCCATATCCCATCAGACATCTCGGAATATTATATTAGAGTTGTTTCAGAAACCACCCATGGCGTTTTGGGCCACTGGCTTGTCGAGGACCTCTGCTGGTACCATACGCATGTTCACGCGGAAGGATCCCAAAAGTCGAGCTTCGATTTGGATTGCAAGGTACCTCCCTGACATCACGGAGCAGTCCTTAGAAAAAGGAGGACTGTTTTGTTTTGTGGGGGTGCGTCTGTGTGTGTGTGTGTTGTGTCTTTCGCGTTTGTTTGTTTGCTTGTTTGTTTGTTTGTTTGTTTGTTTGTTTGGTTTTTGCTTGCTTGTTTGTTTGTGCCGGTTTGTGTGCTTTTTGGGCACCCTTAGTCGGGTGGCTTTAGGAGTTCCACCAAGTGCAAATTGTCCATTTGGGGATTCCGAGACATACTCATTTGGTTGGTCGAGACACGGCCTTTGCTTGGACCCTTCAAGAGGCCAGCATGTTGATGGCCAGAAAAGATGATGGCGCCTCCTTTGAATGATTCAGGGCCGAAGCGGAGTCCACACATGGCATCTTGTACTCTACATTGGCAAAACGTATGGTTTCCCAAATGGGCATGTCTTTTTTTTAAGGGTACCGTTTTTGGATTGTTTTAATGGGAAACCAAAAGAGGAAAGCCACTGCTTTTGGATTGGACCGGCTGAAAGCGCGGGCTCATTTCTGAGGTTGCTTGGGGTACGCTACCCCTTGATCGGGCCTGCGTTGAAGGGAAGCATAGGGAAGCCACGGGCTTGCCATTCTCGCTGCATATCTGAGACAAAACCCAGTGGCGCAATGCCAGGAGAGATCGCAAAGGTGGATCTGAACAAGCCAATGGAGGCACCTGGAATTTTATGCATTGCCGGCCTTTGCCGTCGTATGCAGCGGCCGGGCCCCGGCTTTTTGACATGGGGCCAATTTCTGGAAAAGAGATGTTGCTTTTTTCCCTCAAAGGGCCTGTGGCCTTGCATTGTAGTGAGGGGAATCCGCCAAACAGGAAAACCTGAAGTTCTTGGACAAGCTGCCCGTTTCCACCCGCCTGGCCTTGCCCTGACCTCAATTTGGCACTTTTTCGCGTGCGTTTTGAGATTCCCTGATTTGAAGCCCACATCGGTGGCGTTGGCGCTGGCGCTTTCCATGAACCCACCAGTAATGATAAAGTGGAGGTTCCATACAAGAGCCTAATTACAGTTCGCCTCTTTACACCCAGGAATGTGCCCTAGTTGCATCACCCTTCAATCGGCTATGACCGGTTCTGGCAAAACAAATGTTCCAAGGCTACGTCGCTACTGGTTTGATGTTGTCACCTTGAGACCTGATTTGCGGCCCTTGGTTTTTGCACATAGTTGCTGTCCTAGGTAAAGTCTGGGATCTGGGATTGACAAAAGGTTCCATGAGGTTGTGGAGTGCCAGCCGTGTTGATTTACTGCCTGCCAATCCATATAGCTGTTTTTCTTTTTTTTTCTCTGTGCGTGTTTTTTTGGGGGGACCCGTTTGGTTGCAAAGGCTCATGGTGAGACTGCCCTTCGGAGCCGGGACAAGGATCCCTGGGGGGCAGTTTGCGGGTTTCTCAGGACCGGGACCATCATCGTGGCGCGAGACATCGCGCATGCGAAAATGCAGGAGAGGGATATGATGCACACCGGTCAGAGGGGAAGACGAAGGACGTAGTACTGGCTCCTCACCAGAAGGAGCAATGACCTAAACAAGGCTTATTGGACCTATGTAGTGCTGGCTCGGTCCCAACCCAGCCATGTTTGTTGTTTTAATGCAGCTGCACTGCCAGCCATCCCTTAGTTTTTGCGCTTTATTGTTGTTCGTCTCTGTTTTTTTTGCGGGGGGGGGGCAGTGTCCATCTCTTTGCCTCACCTTTGCAGGCTCGGGAAGCGAACAAGTTTGCGATCGCAATCTGCAATGAGAACTGCTTTAGGCTTTGTTTTGCTGTAATTGGACACCAAGGAGAATCCATGTATCTTGGGGGAGCCCTTATTTTGAATCACAATGAGGTCTCGCAACCTTGTGATGTTGCTTTTGTTCAACACGATGCCGGCGAAAATTCCACACGCTCCTTTGGGTCCATTGGATCTTCAGCTTGTCAATGACTCTGCCAGCTTCGGACGAGGGAGCTCAATGGCGATTTTGGAGTGGGGCCTCTGGAGCTGGGCGATGAGTGGTGGCTGGAAGAACAGGGCATACCAATTCTAGGGGACACTTCCATTTCCATTCTTTCCAGGGATCCTTCTTTCCAGAAAACCATCAGAAGCCCAGGGGAAACAGCTGGTTTTTGAAAAGGACGCGATGGTTGAGAAGAATGGAAAAGGAATCAACCCCTAGATCTATAGTACAGATGCATGAACATGGGTTTCTGCTACTAATACGTTCGCTGAGCCAGTTGGTTCCTCTTCGAACTTTGTTTAGGCTCCGTATTTCATTGTCATAGGGACGGCTTAGGCAGTATGTTCAGTTGGGAACAGTGTGGTCAAAGCCACCTGAGTTTGAGAAGTCAATGAAAACCATTTGACCTGCGCAACGTTCAAAGGGAATTGCCAATGGGAAAGCTAGCTTTAGCACTCTCACGAGGCGTTGCACTTACTTCCATAGACCCCTCATGGAACTTGTGATTGTGGCCTTTGATGTTACACTTGCCCAAAGCCATTTGACCTTTTGACCTGGTTTCCCCTTGGTCTATTTTTTGTCTTGACCCCAAAAGACCGACAGTTTATTCTGGGTCCAATCAGGGCAGCTGAGTTTCCGGCAAGCACCAAGTTTTATCACGACCACCGCCACCGCAAAGTGGTGTCCATGCCTCTTCCAGGCCCCCAAAGGACCCGAGCTCGCCAGGAAAAGCGAGAACTCGAGCTCATGGTTCCGAGAGAATTGAGAATACTGGGGCGTCTTTTTTGAGGGTACCCCTTTTGGGACAAACCAAAAGGACACTACCATTTTGTGGGTCTTCCAAAGAAAGACACATGCACCCATGTTAGGCCCATGTTTGGTCACAGAACTGAACGTCGAGACGCGCTGCGGGCAGGAAATGATCGACTCCGGCAAGGGGCTTCCTGAGCGGATGCCTCATTGCACTCGGTCGGAGAGGAGTTGAGAATTTTAGGGGTCGATTTGGAAGAGAACCCGAGTCAAAGTAACCATCTAGAGAGGTCCCCGGTTCTAACAGGCACCTCACTTGTCCAGTTTCTGGGCATCTTGGAGGTTCATGTGAGTAGAAAACAGGCTTGCACCACCATTGGGCCATTTGGTGGCAGCGGGGAACTCGCACACCTTTACTCTTTACTCAAACGACTTAAGTGCCGAACGCCGCACCTGGCGTTGTGTCTCCAGAGCTCGCGTCTTGAGCCTCTGTTTCGTGGATCTAGCGCTTAAGGCTTAACAGCGTTGGTCAATTGCATCAAACAATTGCTGTTCCAAAGGGTTGTGCACTCTAAAAGTTGTTCTTTCTGCAAGTTCGTAATAAAGTCTGGTCACCTAGACGTCAGCTCTGCCAGGCTGACTGCACCCGCCCCAGACCCACACCCAGTACAGCCAATGATCCATGAACTATGTGCGTTTAGGCGAATACGTTGTGTGAACTCCCACTTGGTTCGGGACGGAATGCAAAGTCTACTGGGACCCCCCCCCCCCCCCCGCAACAGTTGAACAGCTTCTGGTTTTGACCATTCAATGATGGGTATGTGTCAAGAGTGAGCACTCCCTTTGCTACATATGACATATGTGTGCACATATATATATATATATACATTGCACTGGCAACAGGGATTTGATCCATCATAGTGAGACTTGTTTGGGGCGCTTCTAAGAAGATGAAACCAGGGCCAATATGATGTATAGGGATACCTCTGAGGCCGAGACGGTACAGGGCAACGGCGGTCCTTTCGTGAAGGATATCCTTTTGATCTAAAGCAAGGCTTTCCCCTTAGCTGCCGGTACCCTTCTCTCCCGCGTGGATTTCCCTTTTCTTTCCAGCCCCCAAAAACGGGGTCCCCGAGAGGATATTCCTTTGCAACTGATTTTGTGGGGCTCCATGTTGATTTGCAGGAACCAAAACTACAAAGCCACTGGACAAGAAAGGCGGGGTTAGCATCGCAAAGGCAAACCCAATGGAGAATATGTAGTCGGCTAGCTTCCAGGAAGACGGGCGGGCCTCCAAGTTGCAAATGGAGTTTCAACGGGAACACCCTCCAACATGATTGACTTGAATTTGCATGTGAATGCTGTCCGAAGGTCCGGCCACGAATTCATACCCAAAATTTGCCCGACCGACTGAGGTACATCAAGCAGTATCCCGTGTACTACGCCGGCCCTGCCAAGGATGGGGCGTGTGTCACTGGCGCGCACCGGGCCTGCCAAATCTCAGCTGGCCGACCTTTTTGGACCACCCCGAAAAAAGAAGAAACAACTTTTGGACCAGCCCGAAAACCAATCAAAAAACAAGCAAGAAAAAAAAAGAAAACAACAAAAACAAACACTCCAAGGAGACTCGAAAACGACGAGCCGCTCCTTTCGCTGCCAGACTCCTGCGGGCATGCCTTCGGGCTCCTTCGGCCCCACCACCTCCGGGCGCATGGATCAGCTCCTGAGCTGCGCTTCGGCTTGTGGATTCCCCAGCCAATGAAGAAAGGGTCGTGTTTCTTTTTTTTTCTTCCTCTTGCAATGTTTTTGTTTTTGTTTAGTGAAGCTAGGTCCCCCAGCTAGGTGCCCTTTCTCAGCCTTTTTTTGGGGAGGGTTCCCCTACTAAAATAAACAACAGAGAAAAGTTGGTACCAACTTATTCGAACCTCTCTACTGGAGGACCAATCAAGAAAGGGTTGTGTTTTTGTTTTTCTCTATCAGCATCCATTTGTCCCTTGCTGGCGTTAAAGGGAATCTAGCACTACCTGGAAGTAGGTTCATTTTTCCACAGGCTGAAGCAAATGGAAGGCTGAGTCACTTAAAACTCTGGAAGGTAACAAACAATGAACAACAACTGTTTGTTTTACAGTAGTTGATACCGGAGGGGGTGTTCCTAAGGAACCCAAATTGAAAGTGCCTATTCTGAAGGTTTCCCATTGGAAAACCCTAATTAGAAACCCTTGTGATGCTTGAATTGAGGCTCTGTCCTTGCTCACTACCAGTCGCCAGTATCGTGAAAAACTGGTAGGGGGGGAAAATCCAAATGGGACCGTTTGGAGCCACAATCTAGGCAGAATGGAAGCTTAGCTCTACATGCTAAGGTGATCTGTTATATGTCATTTGCGTAACCGACTTGTTGTTTGCGGTTTGGGCATACAGTATTAGAGTTGTGGAATGTATTTGCCATGAGCGCAGAAACAACGGAGCTTTGCTGAGGTACGTGGAGGGATTTCAGTCGCAGCCGCTCACTCAGTGGGAGTGACAGAGAGAGAGAGAGAGAGAGAGAGAGAAGCACGGGTCGCTTTGCCTGAGCTGACGTCGTTCTGAAGACGTGGACCTTTCTTGATACTTAGTATCTTCTATTTACAGGTTCACCAACTAGACCCATGATCAGAATATCTTCGGGTTGAGGGCAGTAGCTGAGGTAAAAGAGGCTTGTGTACTAGCATGATCAAATGGAAGATAGAACATTATCATATTATCCCCGAGTGAACACGGCAAGACCTAACTTTCCGCGCAGCCCTTTGTAAAAGTTGTCCACGTATAAAGCCTTGGTAAGAGGATGAAAGGTTTCATGCTCCATTCCTCGTGACTGTGGCGGCTGGGTCTAGTGAAAAACCTTGTTGGGTTCTATCCTCAGCCTGCATGGATGCTCAGCTGAGGCGAGGCTCGATGATCATGATCGGGACTGGGCTCAGCCTTGCAGACACGTCCTAGAAGAGCACCCACTTCTCCAAGATAGACAGGGGTTACTATGCAATAATCCTTTTGGATGAAGCTCAGCATCATCTTTCTGTCTTCAATGTGGTCAGTTGAGCTTTCTCTGGCTGGGGGTGACGTGGAAAAGCTGAAAGCCCTCAACTTCTGGCCTGCACAGACAGCCGTCGCAGGAAAGGCAACCGATCGAAAGCGGTGACGGACGCCTGCAAAAAGCACGGAGGCAGGGAGGGAAGGCTGCCAACCAGCCCAAATTTAGCTTTTCGCAGGCCAAAATTTGCTGCAGGTAGGAGAGAATGACCTCCCTGGCGAAAACAGCTTTTCTGTAGTCTCGCCTTCCGCATGCCAAAACAACGAGCCCAAAAGCCGATGGAGCGAGGCTTTTACCTGGGCTCGATTGGCGGGGCCCTCAGGGCCAGTCGGTTCCATGGATCCAAGGGAACAGTCCCAAGTATCACATGCGGGGCTCGAAGAATCCAGAAGGTTTTTCAGTGACATCCCCAAGTTGACGGAAGAAGCGCCACTGGGAATCTGGAATATTACCCTCCCACCCTTTTTACATGGAACCTGACATTCGGGGCTTCCTGCAAGATCATGTTCTTCTTAAAGGGACCGGAGCGAGTCTGCCGTTGGGCTGAAGAGCCCGTTTTGGTCTCATGATTGACATGCGGGTCCGGAAGCCACACACGCAAGGCGGACTCGCTCCACCCTTTTTGAGAACAAACCCTAGATACACGTAGCGCATCGATCATGTCGGCAAAGGGTGAAGTACCTTGCATTTTGGGAGAGACAACTTGTGTCCATGCAGCAGGGGACCTTCCAGATTGACCATAGCATACCATAGCTTTGCTATGTCAGAATTCTGAAATTATCCTCGAACTGAATCCACTCCTTGTCACGAGGGCCTTTCATGCCGTTTGACCATATCTCATATTTTGCTTGCACAATTGGAACTCTCTTGGGTCAATAAAGCCAAACAAAGCTCTGTCTTTTTGTTGATGCCCGTGTTGGGCTTTGTTGAAAGCGGAACCGACCGGAAAACCACAACTTGGTTTCATTTTTTGGTTCGGCGGGGGGTCCCCAACACAGACCCAAATGGAAGCCAGCGAGGCCAGCGAAGGGTTTGCTCGGAGAGATCTTCTTGGTGTTTGCCGGTTGGGCGTTGATCTTTTTCGTTTTTAACATATTATTATTATGATTATTCTTATCTTCCCTTGTTGGTTTTAAAAGGAATTCATCACTACTGGAAATATTTTTACTTTTTCCTGGGGCCTCAACCAAATGGAAGTTTAGGGCGCCCACATGCCCATGAGGAGCTTTACCCATGTGGGAAACATCATCTTTTGTTGTGGTTTCCCGCCAATGGTCATCCCATGTAAAGGACCTCTTGATCAACCCCCAGTTTTTCCAAAGTCCATGGGCCAGCCCTTGTTTTTGTTTGGTCTCAAGAAGCTTTGGCGAATTTGTATGCAGCAGATGGCTACCAGGGAATTCAGCTCAATATTGTCATGATGGGCTGGACGGATCTTGAGGGAATGCCCTTGCCAACCCAGCTACTGGATAGATATGAAACATAGCAGGCCTGAAGCATTTGCCCGCGGACTATGGAAAAAGGGGGTACAAAACACCCCTGGAACAGGGAACCGCTTGAAATTAAAGGGCGGGTGATGACTAGATGCCAGTCACCCACTGGAGAGAGCAGATATCATATGTTTGTCTTTGGGAAGGATCAAACAGTGAAGGGCCAGCCAAAATCACCGCAAACAAACAGTATGCTATCACCAGTTTTGTCCATGCGCAATTTCTGGGTGTGGCTCAAAATGGGACTCGGCCCTATAAGACAGCAATGGTTTTCCTTTGCTTCCCCAACGACCAACCACAATCTTTGGCGACCGAAAGGCGAAGGCAGCTTTTGCCGTTTTTTGTTTGTTTCCGAGGCGGGGTGGCTGCCACGCTGAGCGCCAATAGCATCAAAAAGGTGGAGGTTCTGGATATGGAGGAGTTGGGCATGGAGGCGAGAACCCCAGTGACGGGTGTGTGTGTGTGTGTGTTGTGTTTGTTGAGTGACGGTACCCGTTTCAGGTTGGTTTGAAGGGAAGCCAAAAGTAAGCTAGTCATGTTGGGGTCCCCCTTTTTTTGACACATACCCATGTTGACCCAGCATTGATGTCAAATTAATAGGCAGATGCCTCAAAAGTGAAGAATCCCACCTTCAAAATGCCACACCCCTCGAAATTCCGCTGACTTATGTGTTGTTCCCTGCAGAAAGGTCATTGGGTTCGGGGTAAAGTAAAGCGGGCGGAAAAAACCTGAGCGCTTGGCTTACTATGCATGCACACAAACAGGAATCGACCCCTTCACATGTCAACGGTTTATGTGTGTCCTTATCAAGGAAAGTACCTTACATGGTTTGACCAGAGAACTCAGTAACTCCCACCATTGCCTTGAGCTTCAAATGCTGAGAATTTCAATCAGGTTTTCTTTGGTTTCCCTTCAGGGGTGGGCTCTGAGTACCCCGTGGGTTTTCTTCTGGACCGCTCTCTAGGATTCCCGCGGACATCCAAGGCCGCGGCCAAGCTTGGTTTCAACTGGCGCGCTTCGTGACATACAAGCTCTCAGGTGGCATAGGGAGCGACACGATGGCAAAGAGGACAACATGGAGAGAAGTATGAAACGTGAACAAAGTCACACGATGCGGCAGGCAGCAAAAATACAATCGTGAGGATGTTCGCAAACGCAGTAAGGCATGTATGCAAGAGGACACGCACACATAGAAATACAGAGCAAGCACAGAGGCACAGCTCACAAAGGTGTCCGCCAAGACGAAAGTGGAAGGCACAATCCGCACAGCTGAAATGCAGCCAACATGGCAGCGCAACAGCAACATCACACAAACAAGCAAACACAAGGAGACTCCGTGAGCAAATGAACAACCACAGGAGCACAGGCAAATCAACAGACGGACAGTACAAGCAACACAGGCAAAGCACGCACAATACCACAATCAATTCACAATACTTCAACAACACAACGGACAGTTATGACGTACCGCAGCAACACTAGAGCAGGAAATCACACCGCAAGCACACAGCGCACGTCGCAAGACCCCCGCAGCAAGTCCACGAGCAACCGCTAAGCAACCAAACAACTGGAAATCATATCGGCAAACCTCCTGGGAACACAACCAAGACAGCACAAGCCAACGGGACAACACGCCAACGCAGCAGCCAAAAAAATCCGGAGCAAAAACAGCAAGGAGCGGTTGATTGGACAGCACACAACCAAGACACCATGGCAGGTTTTTTTTGAGGGAACCCTTGTGGGTGGCTTTAAACAGGAAAGTCAAAAGGTGCTGCAAGTTGTAGGCTTACCATATTTTGACACATGCCCAGGAAGTGAGGAAGGTCCCAAACGGGCGAACTGGAAAGGGACACGCATCAGCCGAACCCGGCGGCTGGATTCTGGATTTCCAGGCGGTTTGGAAGATCGAGGTCCAGGACTTTCCAGCCTTCGTGGCGCCTCGGCTTTGGGAGTTCAGTTGCCAGATGAGTCGCGCGCGCAAAACCCGGCGAATGTTAACCCCGTTTTTTTTTTTTTTTCCCTGGTTGATTGGGGGGGGTGTCACGATACCTTTTAGTCACTGGAGGGAACACCCCCCTAATACTGGGACGGGTTTCTGAATCCTGGGTCAACATTAGTTGGAGGGTAAGGGATAATTCTATGGGTGGGGATATCCTTATCCACTTAATAATTCTTGACGTGGTTCTGGGTAGATCGTTTAATACTGGGTTTTTATTGTGACTCGGATGGGTTTCAGTAGCAAGCCCATGATGGGTGAGAATCCATTTTGAGTCATCAAATGGTTGGATCAGATGTTCTGTTTAGTTATTCACAATGGTTCTGGTGAGACCCGTGTTTTGCACTATGGCCTTCAGACAGGGATGCGGGAGTTTTGGAGATGGGCTTCAGAAAGGAGAGCGGTGCTTTTGAGAATCGGACAGAGTTCAACACCCAAGACTTTGGGACACCTAAATGAACGCAACTCGTGTGGCCTGGTCTTTTTTGATGCCTCGGACCACAACAATAGTAGTGGTTTTCCTTTTGGTTTCCCCTTCAAACCAACCAACCACGGGTCCCCAAAAGCAGAGACGCCCATTTACGAAGCTTTTCTCCCGCTTGCTGCAGAGTGCCCCAAGATCCCTGGTCGCAGCTGGGCTCAGAGGGGCTGATGAAAGGCTGTTCCCACGTTTCAAATAATTACTTGGGCTCTACTTTCTCTACTGCTATTGGGTTAGACCTTTAGACTTTAGCTTTTTGGCGAAATCAAGGGGTTTTCCATGAAACCCACAAGAAAGTAAACTTTGTGCAGAGGGGTCAACAGCAACCAAGCTTTTGGGGCTCTGTTGTAGTGCCAAAGAAGTTGCTTGCAATTTTTTGAGGGCTACCTCGACTCATGGAATTTGTATGAACCTATGCTATCTGCAGGGACAGCTCGACAACGGCATCCCGCGGCTGGCACTCCGGATGCCCCTTTTAGACCTATTTGGAGAGCAACTACTTTGGTGTGCGTTAAGTGGAATCAGTGAACGGTTGGGATCCCAGGTTATACGCTCTCCAAGAGGAGAGCCTTGTGGGTTGTAGCGTAGGTTAACCACTCACTCCCAGATGCGCACGCTCTGACTGGGTCCGACAGGTTGTGGACAACAAGGGCAACGACTTCTTCAAGAAATGGTCCCAGGAGGCGTTTAGCGGCTTGCTCGGCGGTCAAGTAGCCAAGTCCAGTGTCTCCCTCCACAGAAATGTGGGGGTTTGTGTTCGAAAATCTGTTTTTAGCTACCGCAAGGAGGACCCACACTTTCCGGGGTTTCCTTTGTTCCTGACTTTTTGTCCCGTTGGTTCCCAAGCGTTTCCCTGGTACCGGGGGTTCCGAGCCCGTCGTCTGTGATCCCGTGCTGGACCACCTGAGAGCCCACAGCCTAGACAGCTGGTAGACCTTTGCAGGCCGCCAAGCAGCCCGAGACGGACTCCTTCTTCGAGGAGTCCCAGGCACGTTCGTTTTGGGTTTGGTTATCCTTGGCTGGGCGGATTTGTCCACCTGAAACCTGGGGGGCTTGAAATACCGAAACATTGGATAGACCAAAGGAGTCAAACCCAGAACTAGGCCATTAACAATTGTGTCCAACAAACAAACTTGGGGCTTACAGCGGTCAGCGTTCATGTATTTGGGCACGTCAAACGACATATTTTAAGGAGATTCTTTAGGGGCTCCCGGCGGGTGCGTTGGTTTAACTCAACCAAACTCCATACATGGTTGAAAAACGTTCGAAGGATTGTACGAGACAATCTCTTTGAAGCCTAAGCCTTTGAACGTTTGGGTTTCTGTCGCCACGTTCCGTGACAAGGGAGTACCCTGAAAGGAAGTGATGTGATGGAATCCCACTTTGGTATTCCAGAAGGCGGATTTCCTATAATGTGTTCTGCCCACTTGCCCAGTCCGCAAGCTGTTCACCAATTGTTCCACTGTTAGTTGCTGTATCAAAAAGTTCACCTCAAGAAGCCGCCGAGTTGGCACGCGAACAAGGCACCTGGTTTGCCGCAAAAGCAACATGGGCAGGTGTAAAAAGAAACGGGCGCCCTGGTGTTGCCAGCTTGAACAAGGGTTGGGATCTGTTTTGGTTCATCACAGAAGCCAACACGTGTTCATGTCATGCCTTACGTTTGATATGGGTTGCACCTTAGAATACGGGAATTTGATTGGAATATGATATGATATGTCATGGTATAGCATGAGATGTGATGATATGACTGGATATAATAGCTGTATAGCCTTTAGGAGGTTTAGGAGGGGCTAGCCACCATTTCAGCGAGCGAGCGCTCTCTCATTTCCAAACCACGGTTCACCTTTGGAACACACAGTCTGTATTGAGAGGTATTGGCTTCTCACCGTGAACCAGTAGACCATCAGACCATCACACACACACACACACGCACAGAGCTCCCACAAGCCTGATGTTTGTCAGGTTCAACATCTTAACCTTTCGCCCTGGCCCGTCCACCAAGAACTGTTTGTTGGTGCTGGCTGAGCAGCCCCCAGCCCATGGTGGGAAATGCCCCTTTTGGTCGGATTCCCGTACTGGGATCCTCATCCCCCGCAGCAGCTTATCGCCGGAAAAAACCCGGGGAATCCAAACTCATCTCGCAAACGAAGAAGGTACCAAATCGAAGTCGACTCGAACTGTTCGAATAACGGTTGCGACGTGCATGCTGCCAGCTGCCACAAGCTTGTTCGTTGTGGAATCTGCGGAATCTGTCCAAGACCTCACCCCAGCAGTGCCTAACTACAACTTGTATGACATTGCCGTCCACCTCCCCGCGCAAACCTTGTGACTGCACAAATTTAGAGCCACCAAATTGGAGAATCCGCAGCGCAGTTGGAAAAGGAAACCTGCGGAGACCCGGATACCCGCTGTCGAACTTCGCCGCGTTTCTTTTTGTTCGGCGCAGAACTTCTTCTTCGGCCTCGACAAGGATCAGATGCTGAGCTGCAGAGCTGGTCATTTCTGGTAGGGCAACCGACATGGGAATGTAAAGTTGTGGTTTCTCTGCAGCTTCCATAAGAAAACCAACCTGCATGGGCACCCGCAACATCATCAGGAACATCCCCTAGTTCTGCCACATACGCCACTGATTCTGGTCCTGCACACATGCCTTGCTTGTGATAGTTTCACCTGATGAGCTGGTGAGCTTGGACACTTGGACCAAACACCCTCGTTGCGCAGGGCCAAGGAGATTTGTTTCAGCCAATCAAGCAAGTCAGCAGTGCGTGTGGGAATGACCCCACCAACCTCAATAGGACGAGAAGAAGTGATCGTTTCGGTCCCATATTCGATTCCCTACCGACACGGTTGCAGATTTCTGAGCAACGGTGGATCTCCCCTGTCATTTACTCGGTATAGGGAATGACAATAGATACACTAAATCATACACGCACCAACTTGACATTGAGAAACTACGGTTACTCACTGGGCACACAATAGATGTTAACTGTGGCTCACCTGGTCACTGGTACTCACTTGACCCAAAGATGAGTATAGCTTCAGCTGCTCTGAGCATCGCTCGCCCAGTGACGGCAAGATCACCGCGCAAGAGCTGGTGTCCGGTCTGAACATCAGCCACGAGAAGGCCGTACCAACCGATGTGAGGGTAACAGAGAAAGGATCCATCATGCCGCCTTAGGGATTGTTCTAGAGCGAAAACCAAAGTAAGCCTCTGTTGTTTTTTCCTTTTTTGTTGGGGGGGAGAATTGAGATTCGAAGATTAGGAGACCAAGCCATGTCCTTCGTGGTTTTCTGATTCGCAGATGTTCAGCGGCACCAATATTTTGTTCCCTTTATCTTTGGTGGGCTGCCCACAGATGGCATCAACCCCGGCTGTTGTGCCTTTGGGGTCACTGGGCAACTGAGGAGTTGTTGACTGGGCCAGGCTTGGTTTCTCGTGCCCATGAAGTCCTATGACTGGTCCAGGAGCGGATTCATGGCTTGCGAAAAGGTCCTGCTGCCTTTTCAAACAGAGGGTACCAGGCCCTCTCCTACGAGGCTGCAGCTTTGGTGAAGCAGTTCGACGTGGACCACGACGGGGGGATCGACATCAAGGAGTTTGAGGCGCCAGCTGATCGTCTTTGGGCGGCCTCTTTGGGTCAGAGAAGAGTTGGACCTCTGCGCTCGTCAAGGGTTTTTTTCAGGCATGGCGTTTGGAGTTATGGAGGCTTACATCCCGCCAATATCAGCTTGTATCGCGCTATACTATCGTCCAAGAACCCTATGCAAAGCATCCTGCCAGCTGAAAATCAGTGGGGACAAGGCAAATTGGGTGAGTGCTAGGGCTTGACCTCGGTGTCGTCCTGAAAAATGCAAGAGGAAAGATCATGGTCAAGCAGTGGGCCAACAAAGAGCAGGTTTGCATTTGCTTTGACCGCTTCAACTGGTTCACTTGTCTAGGCATCAACTCATCATGTTTTTGGTAGATGCCCTTGTAGTGGCTTGACAAGTTTCACTTGACGCGAGTTGTTGTTCAAGTCCTTCCTCGGGTATTTGATATGGGTTCTTTGCTTTTTTTATGCCCCATCCTTTGCCACGCCGCCAAACATCAGAAGGAGCGTGCCAACAGGTCTCCCAAGAAGCTTCACTTGGTTTTCCGTAGGTTGAAACCCCCAGGAAGGCAGGTGACTTTCCATTCGGGACCGCCTGACGGTGTTCAAAGGCAAAGACAAGGAAAACCAACTTTAAGGGCTAGTCTATTGTGAAGATCCCATATTGCACAGACCCTTTCTTGCAAATCACAGTGTTTTGCGCAAAAAGTGGCAACCCAAACCTAGATGGACGGCTTCGTAAATGCGAATGAGATGCATTTTATGTTTGTTGTCAATTATTAGGGAACATTGGGGATTGGTTTCCCAGAACATCCTCCCCAAATAAAGCAAACTATGCTTCCATTTGCTTAAATTGACCGCGTTCTCCCTCTTTTTGGGCAATGGACATCAGACACGAGTCATGACTCATGACTGCTACCTGCATCAGTGGCACCTTGAGCAAATGAGACTGGACCAGTGGCTTCTTGTCCGTCCATGATGGTCAACAGGTTGAGGTTGCTGGGGATGGCTGAACTAGCCACAGATTAAAAATATATTGGACGTGAAGGCCTGCAAAAGATTGGGGTTAGGGATGGTTTTTTATTTTTGCTTGCTTTGCCTTCGGATTCCTTGGGGTTACTAGCCAAGCAACCAGCTGAAGTACTGTAATTATTCCTACTGATGGAGCTATAGACCACATTTTCAACGGGCAGTTAAGTTCCACGCAGTTTGGCGCGTGCAGTTTCAGGTTTCCAGATCGGATGTTTTGTCCGATCTGACCTGTCGGTTTGGCCAATTTGGTAGTCCAAAAGGTTAACCTACGGGGGTTTGTATTTTCTGACAGGGTCCTTCTTGGTTTGGTTGAAAGGGAATTCAGAAGGACACCAGCCATTCAAAGGGGTGCCCCATATGACCCCATGTTGGGAGAAGCGAGCCATTTTTCGGGGCCCTTTGGGTCACTGAGTGTTTGATCCAGAGGGGCGGGCTGAAGTCTCGAACTCGCCAGCTCATGCTGTTGAAGAACGAAGCTCTCAGGGAGCTGCTTGGCAGAGACGTGGCTCGTGTTTTCGTTTTTGGTTTTTTCCGCATGAGTCATGACATCTAGGTCGTTGTGAGCGAACACCTGGGGTAAAGCGAGCTCAGCCGCGAGTTGCTTGCGGGTTGTGTGTTTTGTTTGCCTCACATGAGTCGTGACATCCATGGTGAGTGAACACCTGGGATAAAGTGAATTAATAGAACAAAGCTCCGGCGGCCTTCTTGCGAGTTCTTGTCGAGGAATCGCAGCCCAAAAAGGGACCCTCTTTGGGGGCGTGAACAGTTGGTGCCCTTTTGCCAGCATCCAGGATCATGGATTTTCACAACCTCAATGGTCGGGGAGGTGTGGTCAAACGAAGGTTTCGGATCCTTTGGGGATACTGATTTTCAGCCCTCATGGCATGTTTGGCCCCACCCTAGCTGTGTCCAACACTTGAAGTACGGACTCTCGCACGCCAGACTGTGCGGCTTAGGCAGCTTCACCACGACTGAGCGGGAGTGTGATTGACCGCGCCCTTTTGCGGGCCTAGCCCGGGCGCGGCATGTGGATGCAGGAAGCCCTGAGGCTCATGTCCAGAAGTCGGCCTCTGATTTCAAGCCTGACTGATTTTGTTTAATGTTTACAAAGACATTGGGTGGGCTTTTGTGCCATTTCAATGCATGTGATTTCACAGCTGAGAAGCAGTTGGGACCGTGTTTTAGCTTTTTCAGATAGTTTGAGCAGCCAAGCAACAAACAAAGCATTCCCAAGGATCCGCTCAAACTCAAAAGCTGTCATTGGCTTTTTGGCATGATTTCCAGGCGTCCGCAAGACCAAAGTGTGTTTCCCAGCAGGTCCATTTAGCTTTGTTCGGCAAAGTGTAGCGAAAGCACAAAGGTGATTCCATATCATTCTTCCAGATGTTTACCTTTTGAGTTTCAGAGCGCAGCTTGTGCTTCCTGCGGGTGCATCAAAGTAATGGCAATGCGCAATCCATCGCCCGTGAAAGCTTTCAACTTGCGACGGTTGATCAAACATAAGAACGCCCTCAGGTTTGGACGACCCACGGAAGTCCAACAGATTGAGATGTTCAGTTCGTGCATCCCGGTACAAAGTCTTGGGGACCCCTCTACACAGCTTGGGCAAAAAGACAACCAATAGGGGTCCCTTCAGATTTTGCACAGCCACAACAATACTTACAATAAACGTAAGCGAATGCATGCATGCACGCATGCATCCATGCATACGTACGCACGTTGGTACGTACTCATACATGCACGCATACATACTCATATATGTACATACAATGATTAAACAGATGCCCATGAACACATCGATACATCTATGCATCTATAGGCATTTCAAGCCAATCACGGATGCCACTGCCTGACCTCTATTGATGCATATTGCTTTAGATGCTTTGCACGCGCTTGCGCAAGCTGTTTTTGTTTGAGCAAGCGTGGCCGCGTGTGACCCGGTGCTGTTGAGTACTCCACAGCCTTGTACAGTGGCATCCCTCACCAGCGGTGAGATGTGTAAATGCCGACATGGTTTCGATGATCCAGAGCTCCACCGCCATGTGAGTCTGGACATTGCGTTCCGGTGCGTGAGTCGAAAAAGTCAAGGCGTGAAGGCCCTTTCAGAGATTTGCGAACAGGAAGGATGGGCCTCTTCTTTTGCCTTTGCCAACCTGCCAACGTGCTTGAAGGTGATCTACTTTGCGTGGATGTCGCTTTCGGTTCTTCGGTTGGAGTTGTTCTTTGGCAGGTCGTTGCACGGGTGGATCTGACTCTGCTGGTGCCTCAGAGAGCGGAAAACACGAGGTCACTGGAAAGGTTCCTGGAACAATCTCAGGCTTTGCCTTGTGAATCGCTTCGGGAGAATGAACAGATCCCCCGGGAGGGATCAACAGCCAAAACGTGGTTCTTTCAGGGACTATGAAGCTGCTTGTTTCAGGTTGAATCATGTCGCAAGCTCCGTGGAAGTACTATGTACTCGTACTGATGTTTACCGGTGTTCGGAGAAAAGCAACCCAACATCTCAGTATGTTTGGGCCTCAGCTGCTCAATCATGTTACCCACTTTCTTTCTTTTTTTATTTCTTTTTTTTTTTTCCGGAGGGGGGGAATTCATTTTCTGAGGAATATTATTTTCCCCTGTTGGTTTTGAAGCGGATCCGTCACTACTTACTCGAAGTATTGTTAACTTTTGCCAGGGGACTTAAGCAAACGGAGGAAAGGGGGTCCATAATTCTGTCCACTGTGCGGTGCCCTCGATGTGACCACAGCCAAGGTGAAATGTCAGGGGCAGAATGATTCGTTTCCCGTAGAATGGCTCTTGATCTTGCACAGGTCCCCATGCCATTTTGTTGGGCCCCTAAACATAGTGAGTCACCCCTCTTCCATGTGAGTGGGTCCCCTAAAAT